AGTTTTATTTAACCTGACCCGTACGGTATTTATTTATTTGGGTCAAAATTAGAAATTGATATTTAAGCACCTTCCCGTTGTCAGAATTATCTGAAATTTGTGACTTCTATGCCCGGGCCAGTTTGAAAACCAGCGTTGGTGGGTGTGAAGCAACATTTAAGTTAGATGACAATAAGATTCAATATCTATAATTTATTACTATATTATTAGGCCTTTTATGCAAAATTGAGTTATTACGTTTGTAAATATATTTTTCATAAACGTTTTGAATTTGAATTTGAAATTTGGTACTCATATTTAATTTAGATGACTATAAGTCAATAACATAAATCAAGATGGCCTACGTTAAAATGGCATTACAAATTTTCCCTAACCTATAGTTTTCAGTGCACTAAAAATAAATCCGTTTAACTTAAAAGTATTTTTAAGTCAATACTTGTTTATAGTTCAAGGTTAAACACTCATATCTAATATTTTAATAATAGCCATCGTTAATATCGAGTAAAATCGTCTTCCTTGGATTTGAAGCATATCAAAATGATTGCCTTAATCTGAATACTGACTTTAAGAAATGGCTACTTTTTCATTAGAACCATTTCCTTTTCATTCAAGAAAGATTTTCTCCTATTACTCACGCCTAATGGTGTAACTAATTAACAAAGAAATAAATTCGTTTTTATAACCCTTTAATGAAAATGACTTGTTTGAGTCGGGAAGTTTTTTTTAACTGACGCCATGCCTCGAGGGGGGCTTGGACCACGGCTTGGACCACCGTAGTATGGGTTTGAGCTTGAGGAGTACGTTTGACCATTATGAGCAAAACAAGTTTGATAAACGGAATCTTTAATTATCTTTTTTATAATAGAAAAGTATAGCCAGTGCACATGTGAAATACTCCAGCCATATAATATATAAACAACATACGCTATCGACCTATTTTAATTTGCAAAATACATTTTTATCCTAATATAACTAATTATACATCTTATCAGAGATATTAAAGATCTTATGTTATCTTATAATTGTGGAATTTCTTTATTAATAGGGCGAAAATATTTATGTATTCATTTTATTCATAGACTTATTTCAAGCATCCAGATGAATGGACTTTTGTGTCCTGCCTGACCGGAACTATTTCGTTTACATCGTATTTCAAGCCAATAATTTATTTGCTGTACTCTAGAACCACAGAGTCGTTTGAAGTATTTTCTTTACTAATCTATGATACTTTAAAAATGTTTTTATGAATTCAACTTACCTGAAAACTACGGTCGATTTGATGCAACTTTGGTTTCGTGATTACCATAATAACGCAAGTTTACCGTAGTTTAAGTTTTAAAATATTGAAACAACCTTCAAAATATGTAAACGCGATGTATTATTCAAATTTAAGACTGCATTACAACGTTGGTTTTGTTATTAAGACTGTGTTCAAATATAGGAGTTACTTCTTGAAGTGCAGATTAAAATTTCTAATTATTATTTTTTATTGGTTACTTATTTTTTTAATAAATTACCGGTTACGCCATAAAGATTTAGTATATTATGTAAAGACGGTCTGTAGTTTACGCGAGTAGTACTTATTTAAATAAAACACTAACGGTTTAACTAAATATATTCCTAATTAAACGCAACAGATAACGCTAAGCATAGCAGTTTTTTTTACTTTTTTGGCTGCTGCAAAGCATTTGAAACGTCGGGCCATAGTCAAAACAATTTGGAAACAAGTTTTAAAAATATATTTGTGTTGTAAACCGTTAAAGCATTTATATATGTTTTGTAAGTTAATTTCAAGAACGTTAAAATGTTGTATCCGTAATTTTGTAGTGTAGTAAGATAGATAATGTGATAAAAAAGATAGATTGAGTCTAAACAGGGTTTTGCAAAAATACGACCAATTTTGCACTCAAAAGCAATCCAAATTATATTCAATTCGTCTCCTCTAATTAACAATTTCAAAGGCACCTACAAACTAAAAAATAAAACATAGCCGCAAAAAGTCTACTTCCGTTTGACGTCTGTAGGTTCGTTTTTCACGTCCCTTTAGTCGAAATGATATCCAACTATAGCCACAGCAAATAGAGGTTATGAAAAGTTACAAGATGAAAAGCCGCCGCCATCTCGTCGCGGTTAGGCAAGCGGAACATTTGAAGTGCTCTCATAATGAGAGGCTTTGCGCCTTGATACGTCATTAATATGCTGTTACTGCCGCTTTTGAATGGACGCTGAAGTTTTCTGAATGCCGTCCTCGAGAATTACAATGAGTGGAGGAAGCTGAAAAACTCAAATAAATCACGATGCATTTTCACTTGATTGGGGAGCGGACTTTGTCTTTGTAGTTGTTTTCGGGATACTAAAAGTTTTTGGGTTCGAGTTTTCAAACGCCTTAAGATAAGGCAGGAAGAGATTATGAAAGTATTGCAGGCAATGTGGTTTCTTATGTTTTAAAGTAAGACAACTAAAAATAATAAATAATGTTAAAGTTTACGCGAGTAGTATACATTTAAATAAAAGACATTTAACGGTTTGAATGCGAAATGTATCAGTCACCCTATTTACAATTACGAGGAACAGATGGCGCTAGTGTAGCAGACAACAAAAGGAACACATTTCATATACAGTTCCCATGTGCATGCGGCTGATGCAAAGCATTGCAAGTGTGCAAGTGCTTAAAATAAATTGTAAATAAGTTCACTAAAATGTTTTGTATTTTTAAACCGTTAAACGTGTTTAATTTAAACAAAAAACCAATAAACACAGAAAAAAACAACAATAATGTTTAAAAAGCTTACTTTATTATAGAAGACTAAAAACTTCAGATTCATAAAAAATCTTATCTTTTAATATATTTATTTAATACCATATTCACAAAAAATATACATAAAATAAAATTTATGTAATGACTAAATAAATTTTGTTGTGTTGTGGGAATTTACACAATTACATTATAACTATTATATTATTTCATATCGGCTATCGTTCATTGATATATATTTAAAAGTTTCTTACTTTTAAAAAATTTAATTAACAGTAGTTTTCAGTGTATGAATAAAACTCGAAAACGTTTTAAACCCTAAAATAAATAAGCGATGCGCTAGTTCAAATAACGCTTGTATATTCTGAGCACTGTTTGTTCATAGAATACCCATGTGTAGTCATTATTGTTTACATGGATGCTTTTGACGTGCAGCGTACTGAATTTTCAAATATAGTGAATAGTAAATAAAGTAATTTATATGGGTAAAGAAATAAAGTACGTAAAACTGCAGACGCTCGGGATAAACAAGCTCGTGTGAGTGAATAACTTTGTATAAAATTTCATAGGAGAATACAAATTGCACGATTATAATGAACATTTTTAGTTTCACTTTGCGATGTCTCGTTTACAACTTGATACATAAATTTATGTTCATAATCTTGTCACGAGTTTTATGTTCAATGTTACTTCAGTGTGACGATGTCGATTTTATTTAGACTTTTAAATGAAACACTTTAACGGTTTAAAACGCGATATATTAGTTAAACTTATTTGAAAATGATTTTTAACTTCGGCCCGACGTTTCGGATGCTTTGCAGCAGCCGTGGTCACGGGGAGACTAAAGATGGAGGATGTCTCTGACGTCAAAGTAAAAAGTTGCTACGCTAGCGCCATCTGTTTCGTCGAAGTTGGTTTGGGGATCCTTACAGAATTAATAACGGTTTTTTGGGGTTTTGGGGTTTTTTTTTTTTTTGGGGGAAAATTTTTTTTTTTGGGGGCCCCGGGGTTTTTTTTTTTTGCCCCCCCCCCCTTTTTTTTTTTTTTTTTTTTTTTTTTTTTCCCCCCCTTTAAATTTTTTTTTTGGGGGGGGGGGGGGGGGGGGGGGTTGGCCCCTCCCTGGGGGGGGGGGGGGGGTTTTTTTTGGGGGGGTTTAACTAATATATCGCGTCTTAAAGCGTGAAAGTGTTTTATTTAAATGTGTACTACTCGCGTAAACTATAGAAGGTATTTATTTAGACTTTTCAATTGAGTAAATGAGTAATCAAAGCTGTGAAGTCAAAATCAAAAATCATTTATTCATGTGGGTAGTATTCCCTTATTCATACTTTATTACTTACTACGTACTTATTCATGTATGTATTAGTAGTAGCAGTTGTTTTGTTGTTCGTAAGTGTACCTAACACGCATGAACATAAAAAAAATTTTTTAGACTATTCTCTTTAAAATTTAAAAAATATTTAGATTCGTAAATTTTTTTTTGTTTGTCTGTCTGTTCGTCGTGATTCTACAGAGTGTTCAAAAGAGCAACATAAGTGAGAAGAACACGCAAGAAACTCAGTCCGGCTTTTTAAAATATGTCTTATAAACTAATACATTGTTGTAAATTTATTAACCTAAGGAGCAATTCATATTACTGCCAGGCGGTCTTGTCATTGAAGAAATCATTCAGACACTTCGAAACATTTTGTAACTTTCTTAAATTTATTTATCGATAAATTTGAAATCTCGACTGGCAATGTATTAAATACATACGAAACAATTCCTCACAAATTATTTAGATATTTTATGGAGCCTATATTTGGGGATAGCTAGTTTATCCTTATTTCGTAAGTTCAAAACTAAAAACTATAAATTTATATTTACTACCAGTTCCCAAATTAAGGGCGTAGAACATGCGAGAAGAACTGGCAAGAAACTCGACCCCGACTCCTTTTGCTGTCAAGTGTTTGTTACAATCCTTACGCACATAATGGGTACATGATCTTCTTTGTTAGAGCAGGTTCCTCCAAACCACAAGCATCGTTATCATTTAAATATCGATTTACGTTATAATAACCCTTGTGTTAACTAGGTCGACCCTGCATCTTATCGGGTATTATATGACTAGGTTGACCTTCAAGTGAAGGCCATGCCCGTTAGTCCTCCTCTATCACGAAAAGACAACTTGTTTAAGTTTTATTTTTAAATTGAGAATGTTTTTGTTGCAGAAGCGACATGGCATGAACGTGTGTGTGTGCGCGACATGCGGCGAGGGCCGCTCGCGCACTCCGCCGCCGTCGCTCTTGTGCTCTCCTTTCTTCTTCCTGTAGCGTACACAGGTGAGTGAAGTCCTAATTTTAATTTTTTAAACTACCTAACAAGTAGATGTAGGGCTGTTTCAAAAAGTTTTAGCTATGATATTCCTTACCACTTGTCACTTGAAGGTATCCGTAGCAGATATCTTCAAGTGACTTCATTTTAATACTGGTATTTTATGTTTTATTTTTTCGAAAAAACATGGAGCCATAAATAAGCTTTATAGTCGTCGGGCCGTAGTTAAAATAACTTACAAATAAGTTTAAGTGATATATAGCGTTTTAAACCGTTAAAGAGTTTTATATAAATTGTCCCATTATTTTTTCACTTGTCCTACCGTTTCTTCGCTTCTATTAGACGCAACGTCATGTTTTATAGCCTAAAGCAATAATGGATAAATACTTTAACCGACACAAAATAATTTTGCAATTGGAAATAGTAGTTTCTGAGATTAACGCGTTCAAACAAACGATTTCTTTAGCTTTATAATATTAGTTTAGATTTGTCTACGTGTTTCGGATGCTTTACAGCAGCTGTCACGGTTTCTTGTCATAATCTCATTGTTATTGAGTCAATGTTTCTTGTAGCGAGTTAGATTTTGCCATCCCTGGATAGTTTACCCACCACTGGTCAAAGCGATCGAGCGGACTTCTTCCGGGGACGTGCGCATTTAAAGTGATTGGAGTATAGATGGATATTGTACACAAATATTCCGTAGTAGATCTCCGAATTCCTTATTAAATAATTGGTTTTATCTATATTACATTAATACTTTAATTTATATAAAAAAATATCTTTATGTAATGAAACATTTCAGGTAAGTGAAACACTGGGCGTTTACATATTTTTTTAGTTACATGGAAAACACACATTTTGTCATTATGCAAGAATTTCGACGATGACGTAGACGTAGACACGATTTTTTTTTACGATAGACGAGGAAAGAATTCATAGGATTCATTTGATGGGAGGTGTATTTCAACTCGCAGCCAGATCTTGGCTTTAGATATTCGATAATCCACACACTAAAACCCAAACTAGACAATGTTTGAGAACTTATTATTTTTTACATGTTGCACATGAAGGCACTATGTAACTTAAAAATCAAAAATGAATTGTAAAAAAATCGACTCGAGCATGAACGGATTTGCCCACGGAGCGTTCCGTGCTGTTGCTCTAAATTTTTTAGGACTCGGTAGCACAATTAATAACTTATAGTCGTGCCCGAGTTGAATTTTTTTTCAATCCATTTTCGATTTTCAAATTACTATAGACAACGTTTTCCACACCTAATATGCAGATTTTTAAATGGAGACCAACATGTTTAAAAAAAAACTTTAATCTGTTTGGAAGAATGTTGGACCCGGTGGGATAGAAGTCATGACCCGATACATTGCTATGATTACCAACGAGCCCGTCAAAAAAGATACACTGTGCCTCAAGTGGTTAGAGCAGCTGCACGGAACGCTGTAGTGGCCGGTTTAAGTCCCGCCCGAGTGATTAACATTTTTCAAATTAAATACATTTTTATTTTGACTTGCTATTGTTGCCTGTACAAAGAGGGTACGTGTAAAACATACACCTAGTGTTTCCCTGCAAGTCAGCAAAGTTTCAGGTGAACACTAGTTACCTTAGATGATGGAAAATAATATATGACGTAGTATAATATTATTTGGACCCTACTCCATCAAACTAGGGAGAAACATTTTTAGATAATAAAAGGGTAGTCTAATAAACCTAACAATGTCATGTCTTATCAATAAAAGTGACAATAAACTGAAAATCTAATGGACCCTTTTTGGGTCTTAGGCAGGTAATTTAATAAGTTTTTTCCATTACGTTCAACACACAATGATTCTGGATATTGGTAGGCAAGTATAGGTAGCTAGGTTAGACGAGCTCGTAGGTCCGTATAATAATCAACGGGTCGTTGATTCAATACTCACCTGGGCCAATATATTTCTAATCAAATTATATTTCTTCTGAAACCTGTCGACTTCGCCCAGAAAACTGAATATTATTTAAGTGGTAGGAATATTGACATTCCGACGTAACGAACCGCCGTCCACAGATGAAAAAGCCTTGAAGTAGCCGCGACTAACGCATTTCGATTTCTGTCTGATTTATAATTATCTAAAGCCAAAACAGGCTCTTTGATGGTAGCCTCGGGTGGTACACCTTTCATTAAGTAAACACCATGCTTTTGCCCTTCTCTATTATATAAAAAGGCAAATTATGTTCTTAATAATACTATAGATTATGTTTTAGTGTTTTTACACTTTTTCTACAAAAAACTATAGTTACGTTAAATAGAACACTTCTCACGGTTTATTACGTGAAATATATTAGTTAATTTATTATTAACTACGATCGATGCTTCTGCGCTGCTGTTTTTATTTTAGGGACTTTCGTAGAAATGCTTCATCTATACTAATATTATAAACCTGAAGAGTTAGTTTGTTTGTTTCAACGCACTAATCTCAAGAACTACAGGTCCGAATTGTAAAATTGTATGTTCGTTCGGACCATTTATCGAGGCTTTCATTTAAGACATATGTAGCGTACCAAAAGAATTCTCTAGACAAATAAACATAATTTTTGTAAATAAAAAAATATGGAAGGCAAATTAACGTTAACTCATAAAGTCGCGTACATTAAGTAAATACAATTGAAAGTTCCATACTTGCTCGCAGCCGCATTATTATAATTCATTTAAAAGCACTCCATCAAATAACGTGTTCCACATATTTGCTTTAAAACAAAACACACAACGTTCACACTTGTGGTATTCTGTTAAGCAGAAATCGTGTCGATCTATCGATTCCTTTCAATACGACTGCATTGTGTCAAGTGCTTTCAACAATGAACCGATCGGTTCGTTCTGCTTTTCATTATTTGTATTTTCTTCGAGAACATTTATAAATAACCAATTTCTTTTCTCTTCTTATTCATAATAAATGACTTATTGCAATGGATGAGCAAATTCTTAATTTAAACGAGACTCTTTTAAAAGCAACAGGGGAGTGAATTAAATTGAGGCTTCGAAGCATTGTATTCTTATACATTACTTATCATAGCGTAGATATTTTTTTTTACTTACTTATTGTTTAATTATTCATTGTAACGTGTAGGTCAATTTGACTAAGCTCTATTAAAAATTCCTTTAAAAGTCTTATGTACTTACTGGTTACTTCGCAATATACCAATACAACACTAAGAATCCAATATTTATTGGAAACTATTTATTCATTGCAAAAATTTTTTGCCCCGGCGGTAAAAACGTATTTTTTTTAAACACTTTGATTTCAAGTAGGTACATTAATTACATATGAAAATTTAAACTATTGCACAATACCTACTCTTCAGTTGGATTAATTATGGAGCATAGCAATACATTCGTTCAGGCAGATGTAGAACACTTTTAACGGTTTAAAATGCGAAATGTATTAATTAACTTAATTAACCTTTATTTTATTTACGGCCCGACGTATCGGATTTACAGCAGCCCTGGTTACGGGAAGACTGTTTTAAACCGCTAAATGTTTTTTATTTAAATTTGTACTACTTATGTAAATTACACATTTGATCAACGATCAGTATAACGGACACATAAATGCATCTATCCCAGTGTATAATGGAAATGGTGGTATGGAGATAGTAGGACAGTATACACGTAAATAATATGTTATCTAATCTAACATTCACGCACATCAATGACGGAATATACGATTATGGTGGCGCAGCGGGTTTCAAAGGATTATCAGCTTAAGTACCTGCTCGATTCATCAATCCGAACATAAATATGTATCAGCTTTGTAATCTGTATTTATGGCTAATCCGTTTACGAGCTAAATATAAAATTCTCGATGAAAACGCGATTGATAGCCGTTTTTGCGAGTGCTTGTTCCGCGAGGATTATACGAATCAATGTTTCTGTGGTCTGTTGGTTTTACATGTGCTGTAATTTCATAATTGATATTTGTGTGCGGCGGAAATGAAATATTTGAATATTTCACGCAACGGAACATACAACAAAAGTGTATGTTTAAATAAAACCCTGTTTAAAATGCAAAATATACTGCTTAACTGACGTTTCGGTTGATTTGCGAATAACAGCATCCGTGGTCACAGGGGACTGAAAATTATTAAGAGTGTGCATATTTTATTTTCAATGTTTTAACTATTAATTCAATATATAAAAAACTCTTTTATTAACATAAAGTTTACATACAATTAATTTAAAAACGCTCAATATTACATTTTACGCAGCTTGCTTGAATTAACTATAATCTTTAGATTATTTTAAATAAAACACTTTTAACGGTTTAAAACGCGACATATATTAATTTATTTATTTAGAATTATTTATTTTACAGCCCGGCAGCGACGTTATGATTGCTCATGTTTTAAGTCATCAAAAGTATTTTTTTTAAATATGTACTATTCAAACACATTCAATATTGTTTTTACCTATGTATATAAATTACCACCAATTTTTATACACGGGTGAAAACACCTACGTCAATGTATAATTTATCCTAATTTAATACGCACTCAGCACTATAAAACGCCAAATCTAATGTTAAGAAATGTCACCTTTAGTTGGGATACTGAAATATTAAACTTTTAGTGAAAGGGTTGCCTAGGCTTTCCCATATCGAATAACCTTCGCTGACCTAGTTGAAACCAGACTCGCTTGAATTTCCTAGACATTTACATGCAAACTGTCGCTTTTGGGTTGAACCTATTGTGTTTCTACTATAGAAAATGTTATTAATAAAAAAAAACATGTCGAGAAAAGTTAAGAGTATATTACTTCTTTTTTTACCATACCATTCTTTTACATAGCTTTAATAATTAACAATATTATTACCTAGCTGGGTCAGCGACTTCGTCCGCGTAGAATAGGTACTTTAGCATCAAAATATTACAATTTTATTTCCAACTTCACAACCAAAAGATTATTTCCTTAATGGGCTGTCTGTAAATTGAGAAGTTGCGATGTTTAAAAGGAAAGTTGGAAGGAGGCTTATGATTTTTTATTTTTTTAGGTTCGATGGGCCCAGGCGTGCCTGAAAACATAACAGTCACCTTTCTAAACCCAACCACGGTGAGAGTGTCGTGGTCAACTACAGCTGAGTTGGTGGAAAAGTATGACGTCACATACAAGCCATCTGACGCGAGGTAAGATCTGAAAATTTTTCGTACATAAAAACTTTTGCTGTGAAAGCGCTTTTGCTTTTGGTGCTGGTGCTATAAAATTTATAACACTGACGGGACTCGAAGCCACTACTAGTACTAGTTGCATTGAAGTACAGCTGTGTCAGCGTCGTCCGATTATAATAGTTATATCGGGCATCAAAATTAGTTTTTGCAAACCTCCTCTTCATCTTTATAAATATAGCTGTTACCCACGATGTCGTTCACGTCCCGTCGTTCTTGCAAGTTGATCTTAAAATACTTTTTTTTTAGATAATTTAAAGAGTAGGTAATTATGATTTTATAAATTTTTTTGGGTAACCGCCTTCTCGGCGTACGCATCCACCACTCCACTTTCACTAAGATCAATTCCCCGTTTTTTTGTCACATATCCCGCTATTTCTTCGCTCCTATTAGTCAGCGCGATGTTACAGCGCCTTCTAACCATTTTTTTTATTCGAAGCAGTAATTCCTGAGATTAGCACATGCAAACAAACTCTTAACTGCGTCTGTGTATAGAAATAATACGTTTACTAAATTTAACGTTACACAGCTGTTTCATTAAGAAATCTCCAGATTCGAATAAAACCCTGTCTGAATTTTCATAAAATCCAAACGCTTTCAGTAATAAAAATAATATTGCTCGTAAAGTATCCAATGACATGGCTGATTACTTATTCATTGAAACATGATCAAATCAACAAATACGAGAATTCAGTACAGCTTTAGAAGTACGAAGGATGTATGTGACAGATTTTAAATGTCGTAAAATTGTAACTACGATCGAGTTCATTAAAAGATGGATTACAATCTATCCAAGTGAAAACGTCAAATTGTCAAATGGGCGTCATCTGTTACGCAATGCGATGGGTCCTATCGAAAAACCGTAACTTATGTTAATTGGAATATTGTGTCAAAAAGAGACTTAAGAAAGAGACAGCCAATTTTAATATAGAGGAGGACAGACAAGGATGCCGTTCACTTTATGGGCGGTGAAATACCCCTATAGCATCTAAACAAGTTGCTGTCCATCTATTCTGGCTTTGGATATTCGGAAATCAACAGACTGAAACCGAAACGCGATTAAACTTCACGCCTTTTTATCTGTAGCCGGTGTTCCGTGACTCAGTGGGAATTTCGATATTTCTACCAACCATTTAATATCCAGGTTTCCAGAACGTTATAAATTAATTAGAAAAATGTCGAACCCACGACCCGTTGATTATTAGCCATACATTACTAACGTTACACCAACGATCCTGTCAAATACATTTTGGTATACAAAAGCGTTCCCTTTATCACAAACACAAAATATTTATTGTATGTATTAGAAAAATAATAGAGTATTTTCTTCAAGAATTTAATTGTGGCACACGATAAACGTAGTAATTGATTAACAAGATAAATAGTATTGGAAAATTTTACTATTATAATTTTAAATTAAATTAGATTATACATTGAAAAAATAAGTTTGAGCAACAGCACGGCACGCTGTTGATGCCGGTTCAAGGCCTGCCCGAGTTGTAAAATTAAAATTTATAACCGATTATGAATTTATATAGCACGCGAAAATAGTTAAGTTTACATATATTGTTTTTTTTTTTTGCAATGTGCTATTTATTTAGCTATAGGTACATTTTACTCGCTACTTTGTTGGCGTACTAATTTAAAACAGGATACTGCAAGAGGAACTGTAAACAACTTATGTAGACTATGTTTATTGAAAAGAAAAAAAGCTACAGACGTCCCTAATATTATTTTTGCGTAAGGTTAAAATCATCCTAAGTGTATATTAACAACCAATGGATTGATTGCTTATTAAAATCGTGAAGATAAACAAACAAAACACCGTATTTACAATTCTCTTGAATATAATTTAAATGTTGTTACGAAATAATTAAACTGGCTGCATTGCCTTATACAAGTTGGTTTGAAGCGTTAATCCGACCTTCATTTTGGGACAGATGTTTATGCTATAAATCCCTGCCTAAGTTCAAACCTCTAGTTAAATCATGGAGATGTAATTGTTTGACCTCCGAAACTCCCCTTAATATATTGTAATTGTAAATTGTTGAGATTCTGAAAACATGTTTTTACGGAACCTTCGAAGCGCTTTCATGAATATGAAATTTTTCTTGATAGCTTCTTGACAGCAAAAGTAAAGTTTTTTTTATATTCTGCGAATAGAATTTTAAACGGATATTGAATAGATACCAAAATAGACCTTAAGTATTTTGCGCAAGCGTTTAACTGATATTGAAAGTAGATAATCGCCCATTTTTAGTGATAGAGGAGCACAGACTAGCTAGCTGACGGGTTTTTAATCTTTGGACGATGGATCGTGCCCCGGAGGGAACGTCGATATTCCTACCACCAATTTAGTATCCAGATTTTCAGGCAAAAGTCCAACATGTTTTAAAGTTAAGTTATAAATTGATTAGAAAAATGTTAGGCCCGATGGAGATCGAACCTGCGACCCATTGATTATTAACCATTCATTGGAACTATCTCATCAACGAGCTCTTCGACCTTTTTTATTTAAAGGGATAATTTTCACAGGTACCACATAAAAAGATGTCATATATTTCAACCGAAAGAGTAGCGGTACGTTGTTAGTCGTGGATTCGATTACCTTCGCTACATAAATTCTTTTTAATCTTAGCAGTTAATAGTTCAACAGACATATCTCGTCGACATAAAACTGTTTCTTTGTTATGATTATTTAGGAGTCAAATCTACGACCTCTGACTCTCGCTTATCGCTAGCAACATTACATATCATTGCCATAAAGCCTCGGTGGCGTTCATATGACCATTATATTTTTCATGAACATTTTAAAATTGTTAATTATGCAAGTAGTGTATAGCTTTTAACAACATTGCATGGTTATTTGTCGTCCGAATACTTTTTTGCATCACAGCCAAGTTGTTGAATGCTTTTAGCGTCATATGCACGGAGTTGTAGAAGCATTTATTGCGACTGTGTGAATAATTTATGAGTATGCCATATGGTATGGATGATACGACACAACTAAGTACCACAGAGAGAAAATTTTACTACACTACAACTTAATAGTAGCACCTTAGGACATTCATACAAACTAACGGAATCTATTTAACATAGCATAATTATATAATATATTAGTTCATCTGTACAAATTATTAATATAAAATATTAAAAATCTATTATAATTTTTAAAAATTATGACCCGGGCTGGACTTGAACTCCACGGCGTTTCGTGCTGTTGCTCTAACCAATGGAGCTACCGCGTCCGTTCGTGTGTATATATTTTTTTAATTCACCAATTTATAAAGACACTTCATTTACAAGTAATTCTTTCTAACACAGTTAAGGACAGAGATGCATGAGATTCATGAGATGGAAGGTGATATACACCATAACATGTAATTATGATGACTTATTTTAGCTTTGGACATTGTGGTTCTTAGTAAATATTATAATAGAAAAAATAACATTTGATTATTTAATGTTAAAAAAACATCGAAGAGACATACTAGACTCGAACCCACATCCACCAATGTACTATCATAGTTTAGAGTTGTTATTTCAAAATAAAAACTAAGAAAGATTGAATGTTCTCACAGCCTAATTAACATGAATTCGAAATTTGAACTTCAAAATAAATGACAGCATTACTTTTTCATAAGTGTTTTCTTGAAACGGCTTGATTTGCGAGGATAATTATTTTAAGACTAGCTGTGGCAGCGACTTCGTCCGCGTAAAATTTTGGGCATCAAAATGGTAAAAAACATCGCGCCCCGACGTCTTTTAGCCTTCCTCGATAGATGTTCTACCTAACACAAAAATTCAATTCAAGCAAGTAGTTCCTGAGATTAGCGCGTTCAAACTGTTCAGCTTCATATATTATTATAGATAAAATACGATCTAGTGTTTACATTTATATTTGGGTCCCATTCGAATGAAATTGAGCGGGTTTTCGAACACCTCTGTTACTGTGCATTAACGTTACCCTTGTTTCGTTGCGTTCAAACTGCCAACCTTTTAATGAATTAATGGAAAACCATTAGGCCTATATACTTTGTATGGGTATTTCGGTTTTGAGAGGTTAGGTTTATTCTCTTATACGAAATCGCGTTTGTATCCACTAATCTTTATACCGATTACCGATTATGTTCTTCAAACAATAAAACAAAGTATTCGCATATTTTACAACCAATGTACATATACATACATTTATTTGTTATTTCGTTCCGATGCGTTATATTTAAATAAAAATGTTATGTATATGTTATGCATGTTTAAATAAAAATTTAAATGTTCACTCAATAGTATTTCATAGTTTTTATTTTCATAAACTTTGGCTCTTAAAATAAATATTAAGTAACTTAAATTAATCAAACATTAAATAATGCCTCACCAGCCAAATGACTCAACGTGTTGCATTACATGCGAGAGGTCCTGCGTTCGTTCTCAAGGAAACAATGCATCATTTCTGTTGGACAGGGAACAGAAGTCTGATCAATTTCTTGCCTGTTAAAAAACCATGCAGTGAAACGGAATCGAACATGTGTTCACCCCATTGTCCACAGGGGAAACGGGATGTCACACTTATACCTTATACAGATATAATCTTCTTTGTCGTCTTATACCTATTCTCAGATTATTAATAGGGCGGCAAAGGAGATAATATTATAATTATATTTCTTACTTAGAGCATATATATATAATTCATATTTTATTAAACGGTGAAAGAAGTTATTGTTACCTAATTAGGAATTAGTGATAGTATTTCTGGTTGTAAATCAGAAACAAGAAAAATCTGGTTGTAAATCAGAAAAATCTTTATCTCCTCATGAAACAGTCGGAGCTTTGTAAAATACTGTATTCCGTGTGAGTCTTACAAAGCGAAGAGTTAGCAAAACAACCAAGCAGAGCTCATGGACCAGTATTTCTGTTACTAAAAGGGAAATTACTAGCTTTATAACTTCGTTGTTTGGGAGATATATGCTTTGATGTAGTTTTTTAGCTGTCTTTGACGCTTAGGGAAATAAACATTGTAATTGAAGTGTGTAGTCCTACTATGTAAAGCTAAGTACTTTAACGTTTTAATAATGTTTTTTTAATGACGCAAGAAAGAAAGACGATCATGGGGTTTATTTGATGATAGGTGAAATACGCCTAACATCTAAACAAGGTGTTAGGCGTATTTCGCGATGTTGACCTATTTTAACTTTGAAAGGCGGTTAAACTTCGTGGTGGTTATTCGGACGGACTATTGATATTCCTGCCACCCATTTAGTATCCAGACAAGTTTCAGAAACATTATGAATTGATAAGAAATTGAAAAGCCGTTGATTATCAGTTACACATTAGATCTAAGAGACCATCAAAAAACTGTACTATACATATACATACTTTTAGTTTATGTAACTATTATCAATAACCGATCGAATACCATAAAGATCTAAAAAAAAAACAAATGAAAAAAGACATATTTTTATTATAATATTAGTAGTTCTAAGGGCTTTCAAAGGCGTTGGAGAAATATTTACTTATAGAACAAGATATTTCTTCTCATATTATATTTTCTTTTCTCAATTATACAGTCAGATTGTTTGTTTTATGAAGGGGTAAGACAAACAAGCGAGGGGTTTACTTGATAGTAGATGAACCCCAGCCATATAAAACTTTTTTTAGCTTTTCGTATTCGGAAATCTACTGACTGCAACCGAAACGCGATTAAACTTTACAGCCTTTTCCCTGTGGACGGTGGTAGGTGACCCGGGCGAAATTTCGATATTCCTACCACCTATTTAATATCCAGATTTCCATACGAAGTCCATGTATCAGACAAACTACGCATCAACAGTATTCTTCCAAAAGTTCGCTTGTCAATAGAAAACAACGAAATTGACTCATTGTCGATTAGTTACAGAGTGGTGCTCGAAGTAGCTGGGAACTCGGATGCCGTGATACTGAGCGGGCTCGAGGCTGATACTCAGTACCAAGTGACAGTTGCAGCGTTGTGGGGGGGGCACAAGTACAGGAGTCGACCCATTGTCTTCCGCACGCTGGGTGAGTTTCATGATTCAGTTTGTTTTCTTATTGTTAAAACTTTGACGAGGGTGGAAATTTCAACACGAACAATAAATTATCTGTTAACAATATAATATTCACTTACTTTAGAGGGTACTTCACACATTGGGGGGCGGGGGGGGGGCGTCCTGATTAGCTACTTTCATGTCAAATATAAAATTCGATCAGTGAAGCGGACTGAACTGTGTACCATGCCCCATGGGGAAACTGGATACGAATGGACTTCAGAAATAATATTGAAAATATACCTTTTTAATTTATATACCTAATTGTTTTATGTTCAGTTCAGTTCACATTACATACGAAGAAGTTGCACAGAGTGCACTAAATTTGGCCTCTTTAAATATAAATAGCTATATGTAATGTGTTATAATAACTATTTAATAAAATTACAAACAAGACTATTTAAGACACAATTGGAGTGTTTGAGTTGTGATTCTAGACACTATGTAATTGTAAAAATATATATATTGAGACACGAAGATTAGATATTCTGAAATCAACAGCTGTGTACATATAATATTATTTCTTCAATAGATTTGTAATATTTTCAGTTCTTCTCTACGTTTGATCTTTTTGCTAAAGTCTAGGGATTGATCTGGTCTTAGAGCTACTAGGCGTTTAGTTTTTCATCTCTTAGTAAATTAAATGTTGATATTATTTAATACATTTTAATGTATTATTTTTGTAGTATTACAAATTACTAAGTTTATTTTGTCAAATGCCTGTGAACTTTGTAATTTCCATTCATCGGAAAGTTTGGGAGGCTTATCGGCGTTAAGGCGAAATTTCGGTATTGTTGAAATTCTACTAATTGAATCGGGCGTAATAAGCGTAGTAAAGTAATTAAAGGTCTTACAAGCAGGTCATAAACTGCAAAATGTTGTTTAGAACCAAATTTAATTAGAAATAAATCGATTAGGAAATTTAACTAATTAATTTCCTCTCTCCTTCCCTCTTTCTGATTTACGTCAATGATTTGTGCAATCTTTCGCTTACAAATGGTAGCATTTTCTCTTTTGCTGACGACACCTCTATTATTTTTAGTGGCAACTCCTGGAAACAGGTTACAAAATTAGCAGAAGAAGGTGTAAATAGCATCTTCCAATGGCTGCAAAATAATCTTCTAACCTTAAATATAGCTAAAACTAAATTCCTATGCTTCAGTTTAACCAAACGAAACCAACCAAAAATATTACCGGATATCAAAATTCATTCCTGTTCTAATTTCACCAAGGAAAGTTCATGCCATTGTCCATCCATAGCTTACGCTAACAATATAAAATATCTAGGAGTCATCATTGATCAACATATCACTTGGGAAAAACATATTAATGCCCAGTCTTCCAGGATCCGTAAGTTGATGTTTATCTTCAATCGGCTAAAGCGAGTGGCAGATGAAGGGGTCATTAAAATGATCTACCTTGCTCTCTGTCAATCCATACTCACCTATTGCATCTCGGTTTGGGGAGGAGCCGTCGCAAAATACATACTTAAACTTGAGCGTGCTCAAAGAGCCATTTTAAAAACAGCCTACAGGAAACCCTTCCGATTTCCTACAACCCAACTGCACACTGAGACAGGGTTGCTTTCGGTCAGAAATCTATATATTCTTAGTACTTGCCTTCGTTTCCACAAAGTCTCTACTTCACATAACTTAATGTCATTAACACAAAGACACTCTCAATTCACAACACCCAAAAAAAAACACTAGTTTTGGACAACGATTTTTCAATTTCAGAGGACCTTACCTCTACAATAAACTTCATAAAAAGGCTAAAACAGAGTTCGTCAAACTGTCAAGATATAGGATAAACAAAATAATAAAAAACCTACTGTCAAGCCTGGACTACGCTTCAGCTGAGGCTTTGCTTAATATTCCTAAATAAGCATAGTTTAGCACTTTATCTGTCTATAACAAAATGCTATTGTAATTGTCAAATTGTAAAATGTTAATTTCGTTAGTAATGTTGAGTTACTAATTGTATTAAGTTTATTCCGTTAGTAATGTTAAGTAAATAATTGTAATAAGTCTATTTCGTATTTCGTTAGCATTGTAAACTTACATTATCCACCTATCACACGTATTCTGTTACATACCTATATTATATCAACACACGTAACACGCTCTCGCTTCATACATACACTAACACACATAATGCAAATACTCACCTAAATAGACACTAATCGTAAGTAGACATAAGTTAGCTTAGATGTCTTTATTTATTGTTACCCATCATCTGGAAGAGACTAGTCACCCACGACACAGGCTTGCCCTAGTGTGGGGACTAGGAACTTTCGATTCTGTACCATATATAAGGAAACAATAAAGATTTTTGATATTTGATTTTGAATTTAGTAGGTAGTTAAGCGCCTGTAGCCAAACAGGTCGCCTTGGATAAATTCGATTATTTCTTCGTAAGAAGCTCGCTTTTAGGAAACGATAAAATTTTAATTGCGAAAGAAATTCCATATTTTAGTCCTCTGAAGAAACAAATGAATTCAGCGAATTTCTATAGGCACAAAACGAATCTAATTCATATTTAATACTTTTTATAACAAGTTATGTGTAAATTGTTTCTGCGAGTCCCGAAGTTCACGGAGTATATTTTATAACAAAATGAAACATTTAACCCGACAGCTGTCATTAATCATTTCTAAACATCACTTTCAACTGTTTTCTCCCGAGAAATGTTCGTTAAATAAACTTTGTTTAACACAAATATAAACTTAAAGCTTTGTACGTAAAGGCTGTCATGCATAACATGTTTCGCTTCTGAAACGTTTTCTAGGAAAGTGGGGAAATTTTTATGAGTTCAAATAAGGTATGTATTTGTACTATCTACTGGTAACAGTCGTCTTAAAGTAAGGCTTGCGACTCACTAAATTGAGCTTTGAACTCAAATACAATATTTAGGTGTAATTATAACAAAATTACTTATTTGTAATTGTTATTAAAAATATCTTTCTCGGTGTCAAGTAATGTTAGCAATGTCATATGTTTAAAGTCTATTAATTGATTTAAATTTAACCCGAAGTTTAACGGTTTTGCATGAAACTGATTATACGTCTTTGGTTAACAATAAACATTAGGACACACTAGTTAAAGTATATGTACGCTAAACCGTAATTTTCTCCAAATTTCGAAACCACATCTTCCGGAACTGCTTCTGCTATTGACACCCTTAACAACACTCGACTTTATAGCATATGAACAAAATTTTGCATAAAACTGTACTTATACGAAGAAATTGTTTTGTATCCATTAACATTATACTACTTAATTAGGTGTAATGAGATAATTTAAACGCTGAATTATCTCGTTTATCGTACAGTAAAAGTTTGAAAAATTATTTTAAATAATTCTAATTTGTGAAATTTGAACTATAAATAAATAAAAATAAATTATTCCCAGTACAGTAATAACAAATAAAAAAAAATAAACTACCTTATATATACGTGTTTAAAGAAGTACTTACTATACGACGATGCACTAAGGGTCCTTATGCACAGAAAGATTGACCAATGCCGACATCTACTGTTCAGTCGCAATCTATGTTAATATTAAAAAGCTGAAGAGTTTGAGAAACAATGGAAATGTGAAAAAAAAAACTGGAAAATTATTCACCCTTGAAAGTTGCATTGCGTGTGTTGCGATAACGATTCACAAAATGCAAAAAATCATGCTTCATTAAATAATCTAAAAAAAATTACTTGACAGTATATGTCATTGTCTATCTTTTAATATTAACTCGTAAGAACTGTTTCTATGGTGGGAAAATGTTGGTCGAAAGACTTAATATGTCATAACAACGTTATCCAGGTAATTTAGTCGAAGATAGGTATTAAAACTGACCTACAGACATGAGGCCGCCGCACTACCATTGCGGGTATCCGGACGTATAACCGCTTGGTGTGTATGGAGCCTAAGTGTTAATTCAATGCACCTGTTGCGTGTTTTGCCGTGCGTGTGTCCCCTCTTTGGGGACATTACTAAACGGGGCATGTCTAATTCCATCGGTCATATTGTCCTAAAAGTGTTACTGCTATTAGCATTAATACATAATGAACTAACAAGTTTGATAAACAAAAACTCGCTATGTGAAACAATTAAATATAGGTTCATATATTGTATAGTATTTGGTCATTATAATTCTACAAACGTTCTCAAGGTGAAAGGTATATTCCGTGCTTTTCATTTGTATAATTCTATCATGTGAAAATATTGACCTAGGAATGCCCGGAGTGTTTTTCAGTTTCCTGGCAAGTACTTCTGTGCCCTGCCCGACCGAAAATATATTGTTGTTAACTTCAAACCTCTCGCATATAACGCAACGAAAAAAATGCGCCACGGACACAATATGGAGAATTTGTACATTTTATTGAAAATAACTTTACATAAATTTAGGACTTATTAAATAAAAAAAAATGAAAGATACAAAAAGAAGTAGTCACGTAAAATAAAGATATCATAATCCTTCCTTTGGATTCGTCGTCGGGTAAACGTTACGTGGAAAGCTTTTATTGTGTTACTAGGAAATCGACACGCTATAAAAAGACGCGGTTCGATTCAGAGCCTAACACAAAAAAATTGTAATTAAACTCACGAGCAATACAGTACACCGAATGGAAAACAAGTAACCCACGTTTCATTTACTATTCTTAGAATTGGTTTGTGAATATTTTTAAAACAGTTTCGTGTCGTATAAAATTACACTATGCAGTTTATTTAGATTAATTTTCGACATAACGAAACATTTCAAATAGCATTTTTAAATAATTCGACGAATTATTTAAAAATGTTTATGGCTTTACTAGTTTGTAAATACATAAACAAAGACACAGAAAACTCCGAAAGGAGAAGATGTTTTTTTTTGTAAATTTATTTCGCCTTGGGGTTTAATTTTGCGACAATTAATGTCGTCTATATAACAGTTCTTTAAGTAACTAACTTCTCATTTAAGACAATAGTACATAATATATGTTCCTGCCAAACGTTCTGCCATATGAAGTAATTATCTTTAAAATGCCCGAGCATTTTTTACATCATTTTATGAATTATACTTCATACATATTTTTTGGGTATCTTGATTTGTTTCGTAGCGTACGCATCGGAAACCGATAATATATATTTTTTCCACATTTCCCGCTGTTTCTTCGCTCTTATTTGTCACAGCGCAATGTTACTATTAGCCTATAACCTTCCTCGATAAATACTCTAACTAACACAAAAATATTCTAACTCTTCAGCTTTAAAATATTAGTATAAATAATAAACTGTCAACATACGATATACCTTTAACAAATGATACGTCAAACACAAATGAGTGACTTGAATATCTAAAAATAAAAGCTTCGGGTCAAACATATTGAAGACAATGAACACAATTCTGGCTCAGGCGAGAGCATTAATTTTCATCATACCCTTTGTGTAATGCGAGAATTACTCGATGCGGTGTTGGTCCCACGTGCTGGCAATACGCCAGCTGGTTCATTTACCGCGTCTGATCTTCCTGGTGCACTTTTGGCGGGTTATTCCTGTACTGGATACTAATATAATCACGGTACGCACTTAAATTTTAATATACAAGGAGTATATTCAAGATATTTTTAATACAAGATATACAGGAATACATAAGCATAGGTTTTTGTATTTAAACTTATCTAAGTCTAAATACTGTCTGCAGTTTACACGAGTAGTACACATTTAAACAAAACACCTTAACGGTTTAAAACGCGTTAAATTAGTTAAAGTTATTTAAAAACTATTGTAACTACGGCCCGACTATTTTCAAATAAGTTTAAATAATATATATCGCGTTTTAAACCGTTAAAGTGTTTTATTTAAATTATCTAAGTCTATTAAGGCTGTCAGTTTACTGAGAATATTTATATTATATAGATTTGAATTAACCTAAATCTTCAACAATATGCAGCTTTAGGGAGAAAATTAAATTACATTAAATAGGAAAAAATAATAATGTATAAATTACTATTATGTCACTTTACATTTTTATGCGTAAACATATAAAAAAACCCGATCGAGTTCAGAACTTCCTTTTGTTGAAGTCGGTTATAACATAAAAAGCACATATTAGTAGTGTTTGTGGGTATGTTTTTACAAATACATTAAATAATATCTGCTTACAGCAGTGACATGACTTGTAAATAAAACGAAACTGAAAAAGTAAAAACTCTTATTACATAAATAATTGAAGTGTCAGGAACACTGAAAATTACTTCTCTAACTTTTTGTATCAATTTTAAGCTTTAACATACTGTTTTTGTGTCGAATTGAGTTGTGAATTGACAAGTGTCTGAATAAAATACTGTCTGTAGTTTACGCGAGTAGTACACATTTAAATAAAACACTTTAACTTTTTTCTCCCCATGACCACGGCTGCTGCTATGCATCCAAAACGTCGGGTCAAAGTTAAAAACAATTTTCAAATAAGTTTAACTAATATATATTGGGTTTCAATCATTTGTTTTTTTTTATTTCTAAATAAACAATTGATATGTATGGTTACTAACACTGCTTGTGTTAGGACCCCAGTGCTGGTATTAAGTGGTCCAAATAAAAAATACTTATAACAAAATCGAATAGTAAATACCGTTGTAAACTCTAATGGTCTGCAGAAGGTCTAATACGCGTCCATTAGCAATAATGACGCTATTACTAAAAACTCATTAATACGACACTTAAACGTAAATTTTTGGTCCTTACGATCCGGATGCTTTGTAACCGGGATCTTTCTGAAGATGTTTTTTTATCAATATGTTTTTTATAACATTTTTGTCGCGTTTTGAAATTAAATATGATACATCTTTTTTTGTATAAAAAAACTTAGTGTTTAAAATTTTCCCCAGTTTTTTTTTTGGGAACAAATATGTTTCGATCCTAGTCTAATTATCTACTTGCCAAATCTATCATGAACACAGAAATATACCCGGCCTATATTTGTATTTTGTATGTCTGTAAAATATCATACAAATCTAACCATATTATATCCCGTTAACGGTTTTATTAAAATAACAAAGTATTACCCAAAAAATGTCATTCAGATTTTGCATATTATTTTTTGTGAACATGATCATTTTCCGCAAGAGAGATAATGTAGTCAATAAATTACATGGTTAATTGAACGCAAGCTCATATTGGAAATATGGTGATAATTAACACATCAATAACTATCGGATTTGTGTGTCAATATATCTATGTGTTTTGATATACAGTTTATTAAATTTGACTAATATATTAATGATTATAGAAATATATTATTCATAATCGAAAATTATAGCTTTGTATATTATGATGTTTGACAATTTACATATCTTTTGTCAATTGTAATGTAAATATATAGACTGAAAGACATAGATCTGATTTCCAATATTATATATTTAATGTTTCTGTTATAGCAATCAGAACTTATATAATTTTACGACAATTTTATAAAAAAATAATGAAAGAAACCTTATTTGACAAATTCTATTTTTAATAATTGATGTTGAAAAATAACTAATTTATCTTACTTCTCCACAATATCTACTCCATTTTAGGATTTACACGTTAAAACCCGCCATTTTGATGTAACGTCACGCATAATGTCAAGTCTTCGGGATTCGCCGGAAAATTCAATCTTCTTACATATTATATACACATATAATAAATGAAATCAATTCTTTTCAAGTATGAATTGTTGAACCGTGCTTTATTACAGAAAGTATAGTGCAGTTTACATATCAAAAGGCAAATAACCTACCTCTTAGGAGTTAGAGAGACCGTCTGTTAAAGTTTTGATCACGTAGCGAAATCGTAATGCTATTATAACATGAATAGTTGGGCATTAGCAACTAATGCCGATATCGTGTCTGTGCAGAGCCGCCGCGAACTTCGCCCCAGCAGGACGGGGGGTTGGAGATACCCCGCTCCTCCGTGACGCCACCAGAACCATCCCCGACGTTTCCTACGGTAATTTTATTTACATTTGTGCTTGCTAAGTTATAAATTTTGAATATGATACTGTAAAACAAATCTATGCATTGTGTTATGCGCACGAGGTAGGGATTCCAACCCCGGGGAAACAATAGATTGTTTCGCTCGAGCTGGGCATAGCAGTCTGATCAACTATTTGCCTGTAATAAATCGATCAGTAAAACGAATACAAAAACATGCTCGCCTTATGCCCCATGCAGGGATTTAATTTTAAAACAAGGTAAGATATATTTAGAGATTTAAATAAATATTATTTATGATTTCTTGTATGCACTTTAGTAAACATGATGTTTTTTAATAGATTAAAAATTTAAGAATTGTAATATTGTATAGTCGTTGTATGTTATCTAGAGGTCAATCTAAAACAACAAGTTAACAAATCAAAGACTCTAGGATTTATAACGAAAATTCTTACGATTTTAACATGTCGTGAAAGAATACAAGAAGAAATCTATCTCTAAATGGTTAATATGTAGATACATAGATTGACTGTAGGCGTCTACTCAGACATATCTTGTTATATATTAATGAATGTTTCTGAGTTAACAGTTAGGAGTTTTCAAGTTACCTTTACTAAGCTTCATTTGAAATTCATAAAGCTAGTGAGAGTCTAAAACGTCCGTCAATATCTAATCGTGATTTATCATAAGATCGTACGTACGATTTAATTTATGTTTTTATACGCAGTTTCGAGTTTAATAAGTTTTTTAATGATAACCATAATAATAATTTGATAAACGTAATGTCTATAACTATTTATTCAGCTCTTATACAATTATCTATCTTTATACAAGGAATATTTGTGAAATGGTATTTGTGTGTCAGTTTTATTTATTTTTTGAGTGAGAAAATGTACAAATATTGTCAAGAATTGGTAGGAAAAAAAAACCCCATTGCATGAATAGTTAAGATCAATTTAGTGCACGAATTATCGTTGAATTGATGATTAAAAACGTGCTATCTGATTATTGCGACTCTCTCAGTAGTGTTATACTTAATCCTAACGTATTTCCTTATACATTTTTCTAAATTTAAAATCTATTAAAAATACTCGTTGATTCGGCATCCACCGCGATCCATATTGCTTCTCGAACCGATTGAACTCTCGTTTTATTACTAAATGTCTTCAACCCAGTGATACGTGGGGCATCACTGTAAATCGACTTTGTGTCTACTTCCAGGTACAACAAAAGCTGAGGGGTGGCCCTTCACGCACATACATCTATTATTATTTACGTTATTGTATTTTCTGTGTGTTATTTGTGTGTGTGGATTAAATGATTTAATAAATGCGCCTCTCGCGTAAATTTCAACTTTAACACTTACATATTTCTGTTCAGATAAGGGGAGTGGAGATTGGTTTGGTCGTCCTAGTCCTTATTATATGGATAGGCGCTATCACCTTATTCTTCAACCGTTGGGGCAAAATACGTATGTTACTGCCCTACCAACCGGACTACAAACAAGAACAGTTGAAAGTAAGTATCGGAAACATTCTCTTTTGAAATCTGAAATTGCAAAATTAACGAGAGTTTATGGTCTGGATTTGAGTTATAGAGATTCATTCATAACAAATTCCATACTCGTAACGTTTTGGCAGGTTCAAGAATGTTCTTCCAATTCTACGCCATAGGATAGAAATATGGTGTGTTGTTTTCAAAATTGCTTTGCCTACATCATTCCTAATAACAAATCCAGCGTAACGTTCAGTGTCTTCAATATTAACAAAACTTGTTAAATAAAACATTTTTAAAGGTTTATTATGCGAAATATATTGTTATGTGTTAGTTCAAATTAATAATATACTTTAGATTGGAAAAACGTAACAAGGGCGGGATTCAAAGTTAGGAACTTAAAGGTAATTTGATATGGGACGTGCGAGGCACAGCATTGGCCTTGAGTTTGAATCCCGCTTGTATACTCTCTATCAATAAGATTATAATTTGTATGTATCATAAACATGAGTTGATATATTTAGATTTTGTGGGAATATATTTCGCGTTTTAAACCGTTAAACGTGTTTTATTTAATGTGTACCATTCGCGTAAACTAACTAAACTATACCTATTCTAATAATGTAATGTATTCTATTTTATGTAACTGGCATAGTCCTATAGAGTAGTGAATAATCTAGTAATTTGTACATAATGTTTTCGGACCATACATAGCTAACCCCAATCTTATTAACTATTAAAGGATCATTTAGGCTCTAACTTCATCTAATTCTTATTCCCTAGATGTAGATGCTACTTTACATAGTGCATTAAGGCTGGTGTAATGATTGCTTTGTTAGTTTCATTAACACAAGCGATCATATTATGTGATAGTGTATCAAGAATTCCAAATAACGTTCCAAATTCAAATGTTAATAGTTTGCAATAGTGATGACTTTGACAGCTCATGAAAATGAAATATTTTTGTTTATCGATCCGAATTTTGACAAATTTTGAATATAGAGTTTATAAAGAGAATTCGAATTTAAAAAGTAACGAAAATTTCAAAAATCGAAGAACTGAGTATTTTTTATCGTTAAAAGAGTTATATGGGGTAAATATCAATATTTAGGTTTTATGATTACTAACCAAATTCTCTGTTTAAGAAAGTTTACCTATCTATATAAAGTTACACTGTATCATTTCTCCCTAATTTAGGTAGTGTGTTCTTTTAACCAGGAAGAAACAATAAAGTTTCTTGTAGTACACCACACTACGTACTAAGGTTGGCAATGACTGTCAAAGTCATCATTATCTAATATAGCATTAGACAAACTATAGTAATGACTAACGCATGTGAAAGAGATTGATGCAATATCTGAAGCAAATACAAGTTCGTTTCTTGGTGTTTATCTTGTCTGTAAGACTGTGTATATTATATGTTTTATGCTATTTAGGTACCAGGAAGCAGCGCGTTAGCGGCTGCCACAGCTGGTGGGACCTGTGGGGCACACTCGGCCACATCAGCTTGTTCGGTAAATTTCACCTTTACGTCTCTCTGACGTCTCCTTGTCATATCTTATAATAGGATGGGCCGAAAGAAATATATTCGGTGCAAGAGTTGCGTTTAATATCCAACAAAATTTTCTAATAATTGTAAAATAGATACTTATAGAAATAGATACCTAAAGTAAGTGTAATAGAGTCGTGACATTTATTCCATAGTGCACGCGTACTATTTGAATGTCAAGAAACTTCTCCTTTTTAAACTTTTCAAAACTTTTTTTAAAATTGTCAAGTGTTTCATATTGTGTCCAATTCATTTGAAAGAAATCAGTTGTAGACTATGAAATATTCGGACAAAATTCGGTTTCGAGATGTATTTTGGATTCCATTTGAATAAAATTCGGCCCATCCATAATAATAAGTAATATTTTTTTATATAATGATGCACAAAACTGACTGAATTCTGTTGTAATATTTAAGAAAATAATTGATATCGAATTTTCTCAGCTTGACTCATCTATTTATCCAATGCATTTCTATTTTAAATTTATCTTCTTAGATCACTAATCATTTCCTTTTTCTTGTGCGTTAGGATCTTAGGATTCATTCCGATGTAAGATATTTTTATCTTTATCACATAGATCTTAGCTCATAACACACCATATGCTTTATAGATTATGCGTCTTTACTAATCGCAAGCATTAATCAACGTCATTGTTTTCGTAATTAAACCAACATTTTAACAATAAAACCTTTATCCTAATTACATTATGACCTAACGCAGTGCGATAGCCGAATGCCGTTATGTTAGAAGTTCTAGGTCGTGTAGAATTCAATTAGTTAGGTTCTTATCAAACTACATTATAATATAACATACTACCATCGCCCTAAATCTAGTAAAACCGTATTTTTATGTCTTTATTACCCCGGTAATACCTTTTATTTCTGTTAAATCGCGAAAGACCGACGAAAATTCTCAAACTGTTGCGTTCATAATTTTATAAGGTTCTGATTAAAGCAATATCAACCATGTGTTATTGTGTTATCAACCATGTATAGACTTCAAACATAACTCTATATTCTAAAGCCGTGTCAGCGACTTATTTTGGGTACCAAATTTTTTTTTCTGCAAATATCTGCATCTTAATAATTTATAGCTGTTACCAACGATGTCGTCCGCGTCCTGTCGTTTTTGCAGGTTAATCTTAAGAGATAGACATATACTGTCACAGAAAACTTTCAGATGATTTAAATAGTAATCATTCTTTATTAAAATATTTTTTGGTTATCTTGAACCGTTTTGGCAAAAGATGAAAGAACTACAAAAGGAACATTTTTCCCCGGTTCTTCCACATAGTGTCTTTGCTATTAGCTGCATTTTGATCATTTATAGCCTTTCTCAATAAGTACTCTAACAGAAAAATATTTTTTTAAATTTAACCAGTATTTCCTGAGATTAGCGCGTTCAAACAAACAAACTCGTCGGTTTTATATATTAGTATAGATTTTTGGCTTTGCTCGTGTAGTATTAACACTTAGTCTGGAGAACTGTCTCAGTTTTACATACATAAAGCTGGTTGAACTTTTTGTATACACCAGGTTCAGTGACGTACCGAGCTTGGCAATGACTCTCAGATTGCAGTAAAGACAGAGTTAGCGTGAATTCTTGCTAACCGCATTGCAGCACTCCACGAAGGTCATAGAAATCCTGCAGCTTATTGTTATATATTTAGAACTGTTTCGCCATTAACCCAACAATGACCGGTATTGTTGAGATGTTTGCTTGCTTACTCGACCTTTGTTCGTGCAGTTGGATTATCAAATCTAACTGTCTGAACTTCGCTCAAATTTTTGTTTGGCGGTTCATTAGCGGCCGGTAGGTTCTGATGAGCAAAATGATGTAGTTTGTTTAATGAAAGCATAAATGGTTTTAAAATGTGAATACTGGTTGCCCTGCATGTATTTTTTTAACCAAAGATATAATGTGTTAATTTAAATAAAGCACTTTAACGGTTTAAAACGCGTTCATATTAGTTAAACTTTTAGAACTCCGGCTCGAAGTTTCAAATGCTTTGTAGCAGTGGTCACGGGGAGATTAGTAACTCCAAATAAGTTTAATTAATGTACATCGCGTTTTAAACCGATTTATTTAAATGTGTACTACTTGCGTATACTACAGTATTTATATTTTTTTTTCTCTAAGATTCGAACCCAGGAAGTCGGAGAATACATAATATACTTAAATCTATCATTGTAGATAAGTAAATGAATACCCCTTAAAACTAGGAAACAAACACTTTCTTTCCAATCATATTTGGATTATTCTGACGTTTGTCCTGAAAAATTACTTTGTTTATATATGGCGTTGTTAAAATAACATGTAAGTCATCAAGATCTGTCCAACAGGGAGTTCTAAAGTTTTATTTCGCCATAACGCACCACAAAGTTGTTCTTGTCCTATAAAACTGAAGTGTAGAGAGATATGACAGTTTTATTGTTCCCTTATATATTATCATTAAATTTAACGAGACCTCCTTGCTTTGTTTTTACACTATATTCTGCTGAATTATAGCGGTTTTATCTCCTATGAATAATTCATGGCTAGTTATAAATAAACACATACATACAGTGACTATAAATGCTTCAATAAATGATGTGATGAATTCAAATAAAATACAAGGAAAGTTCAAAAAAGTGTAAATTGTCATATTTGCAAACTCCTACAAGATACAATTTGTTTTGACAGCTCAGTAAGTAAAATGTTCAATTGTTTACAAAGTTTCAGGCTAAGTTAGACTATAAATGCTGTGAATAATCATTTTAAACTAAACGTACAAAATACAAGTCATTGGACCCGCTACGCTGGTCGAGTGTGAGCCGATGATCTTTTACGATAATAATCTAATGTAAAAACCCATCATTTATTTCCAACGTGATTTGAGCTTCTACCATGACAACTAAGCAAATAACTTAGTCTTCAACTCTTAATGACGTATAAGGTTCTCAAAATGGTTACGTTAATTGAAACTTTTAACGAAGGCATTTTCGAACATGTTGAATATAGGAGTAAGGCAAATCATTGTGAAGATATAAAATAACTTGCTAATGAGTTTCAGGTCGATAAGACTAATTATAATATGTTCGATGGAGTTTTCAATGTCAGATCATAAAAGGAAAATACAAAGTTTATGGAAATCTACTAGAGGTTGTTAGTGTGATTATTTACTAATGTGTTAATATCTTCTATCCCAGAACCATAACAGTAAACAGTAATGGAAAATATTAGTTTGATTAGAGAACACATATAAAAGGACAGAGTAAAGTAAGAAAAGGGTAAGCCAATCAATTTGTGCCACACATTACCATGATGTAAATGCGAAAGAGACGAATCACTGCCTCCGTGGATTCGAATCAGCAGAAACAACCAACCAAAATAAACATAACGCTTGATTAAGGCAATAAATAAATACAACAGAATCAGTTATCAAAATCATTAAGATTGTATTTTCCCCTATTAAACCATAAAATCATCCACGTATATACATTATTCAATTGGATATCCTATGAATCATATTACTTTTTAGAGTTGAATAATTAGTTTGGTGTGTAAGCTCAGAAAAAGGAACAAGAGGAATAACAATGTAAGAGACTTAAATCTTTTATATACGTAAAATAGTATTCTATTTCATTTGCCCTAAGACTTATTGACGTACTCATTGTATAGTCTAAATGAGTCCTCAAGATGATAAATAGTCCAGTAATATTAATGAAACTCTTAGCTTCAGTAGAGTAATACAGGTGTTGAAAGGGTGCGACTTTATAAGAGACCTACTCATCCGTTTTGAATAGGTATTATTTGAATAAGAATGGAAGCTGTAATTAAATATTTAATTTTCAAATTGTATTCTAACATTCATAATAATATTTTTTACATTTTTGATGTTTTTTTATTAGGAAGAAAATGAACTCGAATGTATTTTTCAAATAATGTATAAAGTCATCAAGATGTATGATATAGGTCAAGTGAGGTCAAGTGAATCAATAATAACTTAGCACTTACAATAAGCAATATGTGTGTAAAATTGTTTTTATTTATAAAAAGAACAGATATGTCTTCGCAACAAATTATATATGTCAATTCGTACCCACTCGCATATAATATGTACTGTAGGTATATTATTGTGTTTACGTTGAAGTTAAATTTCTTTATTGCGTAAATAAATTTCTTAAACCATAAAACAATTTATATTCCAAGTAAAGAACTAAAATAACATTTCTATTAGTTGATATCGTATTAAGCGAACGAAACTCAATTTGTTACGAGTACCATAAAGATTTTTGGTACGGATTTTATGTAAGTCGATTACTTATTTTTATGAAGTTTATGTCTAAATAAAACGAGTCGAACTGTTCATAAAAGGCATTGGATGTTAACCGGCTATATCAGACATAATGTTATGACGCACTAAACCAGAAACCGGAACTGTAAAAGGCAATCCCATTTTGACCGAATCCGACTCCCGATTACTATCGCAATGATTGTCTAAATATAAAATGCGCGTAAAATTCCGCAAGTCAGTGTTTCCTAAACTTGCGTGTTAAGCATGCAAAATGTAGACAACGATTTTTCCTGGTATCTAAGCTTTTACGTACTTAATAACTATATTAAATTTTAAGAAATAATTAAATCACAAAGCTTTCATGGTAGCTTAATGGTAGAGTAATAGGACGGTGTGTCATGTTGTAGACCCGGTCGTGTCTTTTTTAATATTAAATATGTTTACATACTTATTGTTTAATACAATAAAACATTGAAAGTATTTTATTTCATATATAGATCATTCATGAAGTTATTGTTTGCCGTCTGTATGTACAGACGTAAATCTCTCTTAAGTTCTACACGATTTACTTCCAAGGTTTTGAAATCAAAACTAAAACATTCCTTATCCACCAGACTAACTTCCAGTCGATATTTTTTTCTATATTTATCTATATAATAGATTGTTTTAATAAAATAAGTAGTTCACTAACAGTCGATTAGTTGATAATGCTATTC